GTTGCCAATTCAAAAGCAGAGGTCAGCTATCCTAAAATCACATCCAGGCCCCAACGTGTCAAGTCTGTTTTTGTAAAAAAGCATTTACTTCCCTCGAAGGTCCACGGTACTAATATCTGCACATTAAACAGCACTGCAGTATTGTTATGGCTTCTAGGAGAAGAAACAGCCTGCACCCGCTAGCAGAGGGCATCTAGCGCCTTCATCCAGGAGACGCAGAGGAGGGGTGTGCAATCCTGACTCCCAAAGCAGGCTCACAGCCTTCTAAGTTCTCACTGAGAACAAAACCAAACCAAGGGTTGCTTTTGTATCACAAGGAACTTCAGGCAAGATCTGCTGTATTTTCCCTGGCATGTACCTAGACACAAAGACTTCAATACATTTTTAGAAGCATCTCTGATCCATAGCACAGACCACACACACACACACACACACACACACACACACACACACACACACAAAGCCTCCTGCTTAGATGGACAGGTAGGGATGGAGAAAAAACAAATCAGATCCAAAATTCTAAAACAACTAGAAAGCAAGATTCAAAGTGAGTATAGACTTTGCAGCCTTTTCCTTAAAAAAAAAAAAAAAAAAAATTACAGCACTCAGTGGGTAAAGGTACTTGCTGCCAAACCTGAGACCCGAGTTCGATCCTCAGGACCCACATGGTGGAAGGAGAGGAAACTGACTCCTACAAGTTGACCTCTAACCTCCACACCCCAGTCGTGGTTCACTATTTCTTATACACATAGATCGATGTAATTTTTTTAAAATTTAAGTAAAAATCATTATAAAGATTTAAGTCTCTAGCTCAAAAAAAATAACTTCAAAAGGCAGGGAGATTTTAATAAAGATAAAAGCATAAATCAATGAATTAGAATCCCTAAAAGGGTAATATTACTAATAAATACTATAGATGGATCTTTGGGGAAAGGCAATAGATCACATCATTAGCTAATCTAATCAAGGACGAGGGTAGGAGATGGCTCCGGTCAGCAGATGCCTGTGTCCCTTAGAACCCACATAAGTGGACCTCGGTGACCCGGCACTGTTACCCGGCATACACAGTATGATCCGGCACTGGGGAAGCAAAAGCAGCAAAAACGCCTAGGGCTCGCTGGCAGCCGAATCAGCAAGTTCCAGCCAAGTGAGAGACACTGTCTCAAACAAGCTTGGGAAGCCGAGGTCATCCTCAGGCCTCTATGTGCATGAAGCATGAAGCTGCACACACACACACACACACACAAAAACAAAGAGAAAACAGCCAGCAAGAGGGCGGGGTGGCACGGACGGGCACTAAACTGCGTTGCTCGTCCCTGTGTAAACTCATTGAAAAAACCTGGGTCATAGAGGTAGATTTTTTTTTTTTTAATTAAAAAAAAAAAAATTTGTTTTCTCGTTTGTTTGGTTTTGTTTTTTCAAGACCTGATTTCTCTGTGTACCCTTGGCTGTCCTGGTACTCTCTCTATAGACCAGGCTAGCCTCTCTCTGTTTTATTTCGTTAAACACAAATAATTAGAGGAGAAACAGCAAACAGGGTTAAGAAGCTACGAGCCCCACCCAGCACACGCGGCCTCAGTTTCACCCTGGCACTCAGCGCGCTTCTACAACAGACATTAACCCTTGCCAAGGGCAAGGGGAGCGGGAAGGCTGCAGATGGCAACAGCCAACAACAAATAAATTGTTCTGGTAGTAGGGAGGGGGTCTGAGGTAGCCTGGGCTACACTGTAAGAACCCGTCTTAAAGGATGCTGAAGAACTGTCTGTTGTTCTAATTACATTAAGGCAAGAATCTTAAATAACAGATCCTATCCTGAAAGCATGCTATAGAGAGCCAGTCCCCGTGACCCACGTGGGGTTCCAACAGAAATGCAAGGATACTTCAACGGGAAGGTGTCCAGTGACATCATCACTCGTATTAAGGGACCAAAGGAGAGAAAGCATGTGCCTGTAACCCGAAAAGCCGTCTGGGAAAGTTCCAACCCCGATTCTTGATTTTAAAACTCTAATAGGGACAGGAAGAGACTGACCAAATGCCCATCTCACAGGTGCCATCTCCTTGGCAGGGCAATCTGCACACTGTTCTTGAAGTGCTGGCTACCACTATTGTCGTCAGTGTTCCAGGGATGACAGTCAGTCTACTCAACAAAACAAACTAACGATAAAACAGAAGCCAGTCCACGGTGGTGCACACCTGTAATCCCAGCACTTGGGAGGCACAGGCAGGCGGCTGCTGGTGAGTTTGAAGCCAGCCTGGTTGTCAGGCCAGTTAGGGCTACACAGTGAGACCCTATCTCATAATACAACAGAAAAGCAGCATGGTGGTGCACACCTGCAGTCCCCTCTCTGCAGGCAGAGGCAGAACATGCTCAGTGACCTGGCATGCCTGAAGCCAGCATGGACCGTGCATGGGACCTATCTTAGAAAGTGTTAAATAAACTATCATGTCCCACTGATTACTGTATAAGCGGAGAGACTGAACTGGAAAGCCCTAACAGCAACAAAGGAATGCAGGAAGGAAGGCGACAGGAGTCAGCATCATTCACAGGAACAGCCTCCACCAAGGGAGAAGCAGTGCATCAAAACACCCTCTCCAGAAACAAACTGGGCCCCAAATGTGTGGGAGCTAAATGCAGCTACTTAGAACATTCCCGGGGGGACACAGGAGGAAGCCTGCACTCAAGGACAGGTCTCGCTTTGGGAGGGGTGTGGGGGTAGGGAGACAGCGTTACAAAACTTGGCTTCTTCCAGGATCTGTCTGTCAAGGTATGCAGCCCCACTATGAACCAACAGCTCAGTAAGCGGCTCCTCAGGCCAGAGGGTAAATGTACAAGGTTTCCATGGAAATGGGGTGGGTTACTGACAAGGAACAAGAAGCTCCACTGAACAGCAGCTCGAATTATCCACCAAGCAGTATGGCTGATCTTGGAGAACCAGCCACAATGGGCCAGCAAAACAGCTCAGCAGGTAAAGAACATGAGTTTGGTTTTTGGTACCAATATCATGGAGGGGATAACTGATTGCTGCAAACTGTCCCCTGACTGCTACCATGTGTCTGGTGATGCGTGTGGTACGTGTTCACAAACAAAATCGATCTAACTACAGGAAAACAACCACACAAAGATACACATGGTGTGAATGAGTCAGTCATGCCAGTCCAGGGTTGAACTTCTCTATGGAGAAGCGGTGGAGGGAGGTGGCAGAGGTCGCTGTCGTAGGGACTGGGGTTCCTGCTGCTACAAGGAGGCTGGGACACCCCTGCTGATGCGGCCTCACCACGAGTGTCCCCAGAGATCGCTGCTGGCTGAACAGGGCCAAGTACAGCTCAGTAAATTCACCCAAGTTTCTAATCCCCAGTGTGACTGTATCCCAAGCGCTGGGGAAGGGGGAGCAGGAGGCCGGAGTCATCTTTGGCTACACAGGGAGTTCAAGACTAGCCTAGGCTATAGAAGGCCTTGCCAAAAAAAAAAAAAAAAGGGTGGTGGTGAAGGATGATAAATATGAATGAGAACATGGTGGACCTAGCTAGCCAGCTCAGTGGTAAGAGAGCTTGACTAAGGACCTGGGTTCAATCCCCAGGGTAACCAAACAGAAATGAAAAAAAAAAAAAAAAAAAAAAAAGAGCAGCATCAGGCTGATTCTTGAACACAGTGAGATTTCAACCTCACACTTCACAACCAGTAAATTACAGAACAAATGAGAAAGGGTTTCTTTGCAGAGCCCTGGATGTCCTAGAACTCACTATGCAGACCAAGATGGCCTCAAGCTCCCAGAGATCTGCCTGCAACTGCCTCCCAGGTGTTAGGCAAATATCTTCAATACGGAAGAGAGAAAGGTCTAAGTATGACTTAAACCCCACCAGCCACACAAAGAAGGACTGATGAACAGAGGCAGATCTAAGCCAGAAGACAGGTCCAAGGAGACAGGAGGTCCGTGTGTTGCATACAAGCAGCTTCCACAGCTCAACACAGACGGACAGGAACTGCCGCCCCATCAAAAAACGGACCAAGAAATGCACAGAATGTTCAAAGTCAAATGCTATGACACAAGACACTGAGCTAGTGCCATTTAAAACGGAAACTACACAGTGAACCTGTGGCCGCCGCCCAGGTGTCAAAGCCTGGTCTGCTGGGCCTGAGGATGCGGGGAAGTGTGTCCTTTACATACGGCTGGCTGCACGCTGTCCCTGGGGTGCACCGGCTAAAGCCGTCAGACCACACCCACAACATCACAGAGTGTCTGGCACCCTAATCCCGTACTTCCTCGTCCAGGGTTTCCCCACACTCTGTTCACACCTGGTGACAACACAGGGTTTCTGGCTACATTGCTTACGGAATCAACAAGTTGTGGAGGGTTTAAATAGAGGGTTGGCCGAATAAATTAGGGCCACCCCGTGCCGGAGAAAGGGACAAGGGCAGAGGCAGCTCACCGGCAGCCTCCCTGAGGACGTGTGGTCACGTGAGTGCTGGACCATGTCAGATGCCTGTGCACACATTTGCTGAAGCACATAAACCTTCTGGAAGGAACACAGGAAATGGACACTGCTGCCTGGAGGGGGGCCTTTGGTCTCTCCACTCCTTCCTTCCTTAGGAATGTTGGACAAGAATGCTGCCTTCAAGATAAATAAATAGCTGCAGAAGGAGCCACAGTGTCAACAGCTACTTCCAGGCCGCAGGGCAGCAGCTGTAGCGTGCTTCCAGCAGCCATACAGATGAAAGAGCTATGCCCCTCCCTTCTTTATGGCCAGGCTGGCCTCAAGCTCAGGGTCGTCCTGCTTCCCTCCCGAGGGCGGGGGTTACAGGTGCAGTCATGCCCAGCTGTAGAACTCTGGTTTGGAGGCATGTGGTGAGCTCACTCGCTGGGGCATGAATACTCCATGCAGGGGTCACACTGGGGCCTCACCCGCCCGACAGAAGCCCAAAGGACAGAAAGCAAGTCTCTGGACCCAGAGAGCACAAAGAGGAAGCAGGGAGCAGGAGGCTCTGGACGGGCCTCACTCACATTTGCGCAGCTCCAGGCTCTTGCTTGGGCAGACCAGGTGCTGGCCGGGTGGGTTCTGCGCCCTCTGCAGACAGGCCAGCATGGCTGAGCTGGGAGCCCCGAGTGGGCCTCGTGCTGCAGCAGGAATCCTGTGTAAAGAGAAATGAGGTGCAGGTTACTAAGGGCTGCTCTGAGAACCTCCCGTCCTCCCCAGCATCCCAAGGAACCTCCGGTTGGTTGTTTTTGAGACATGTCTCTTTGTAGTCGAGGCTGGCCTACCGTCTAATCCCCCAGGTGCTGGGAGCAGAGGTCACTGTGCCAGGCTTCTGGCCAGAAGTTCAGAACAGACGTTCCATCTCCCTCAGATGTACAAACTGAGGGTTCCAGAGGTGCCCCGAAGGCATACAGGAAGGGATCAGGTGTCAGGGGGTGGCCCTTGACCACAACATGGCCACATGTGTCCTTGGCTAGCTCAGTATGTGGGTCACCCCCAAATGTGTCAGATTCTCACCCCTCTAGGACCTAACTGAAGTTGTCCTTTGGCTGGTGGTGGACCCCAGCTCTGTCATTATCCTGTGACACAGCAGCTCCAAGCTGGAGTGGGGGATGACACCCAACTGGTCATCTTTGGGGTCCATTCAGGAGTAGCCAGGTAGGGCTAGTGGGTGCAGGGTCCCTGTTTAGATAAGAGCTGGTCTGGTACCTATTTGGGGTGTTGTCACAGTACCCCTGGAGAACAGATGTCAGGATGGTGGCCTGGGGAGCTCTCCCTTGACTGACCTCATCACAAGTAGAAAAGGCTGGGCCAGAGTCACCCATAGCAGCCACAGATGGGCCCCTCAAAGGCCATGCTGTATTCATCTACCTACGCCGGACCCTGGAGGGAAGGGACACAGGAAGCCCACGTGTCCCCACAAGGCCCATCTACCTAAGGGTGTGGCGCAGTGTGTGCTGGGATTGGGACAAGCCAGCCTTTGAGGTCACCATGGGAGATATGGGAGACTCAGTCAGGCCTCCCTTCCTCTCTGCCTGCCACAGAGAAGGGCTCAGCCTGGATACTGAGGTCCCATTATCCTACCCATCACCACCCCATCCCTGGCAGGCAGCCTGGTTTGCCTCCATTCTGAGCTGGTTGGGAGGAAGTGGAGGGGGTGTTTAAGGGAAAGGGAGGGAAGGTATTTAATACTAAACAGGTGTCTGAAGCCCGAAATTCTGCCGCTTCTAATAATGAAGTATTCATGAGGAAAAGCCTTTTTTCACCACTTTCTTAAGATACTAATTTCACAACAAGCTCCTTGTTACCGCGCAATTATTCCAATCTTGTATTCCCTGAGACAGTGGCAGCCTCCCGTCTGTCCTGGCCTCTCGGTAAATGAAAGACAATCACGTAACCACCTTTCATTATGCTCTATTTTACTTTCAGCAAAGGTACCCGAGAGTAAAGATTTCCTCTGAAAGGGACTTTTATTCAGTTTCAAAACCAATTTTCTCCTATTACTGTCTAAAAAAAAAGAAGAAGAAGAAGAAGAAAGAAAGAAAAAGGAAGTGGGGGATGGATAGATGTTGGGGGGAGGTGGACGCTCCTCCCCTCCCCCAGTTGCCAGCCTTAACACAGCGAGGCAATAAAAGCAGCAATATCCACTTCCCCGCTTTGATTTCTGGTAATTTTAAAATATGCCATTACAATCAGGCAGAAACGACATAGCTTAGCAAGGGAGTGAAGTGGGGCTTTTTGCGGGGAAGGAAGTCCTTGACTACAAAAAGCAGCCAGGCTCTTCAGGGACCTGAGACGGGAGCATGTGGCACAAATAGGCCTGCTGGGGCCATCACCGCCACCACATGCCACAGCTTTGAGGCCAATGTCCACCCCGCCAAGACCGAGTATGCTGGGTTTCCTCATACTCTGCAGGTGCACACGCAATCTATACCTTGAGTCACACTCCATCACATGGGTGGGGTCCCTGAAATGTACACTGACATGAAATGAAATTGACAGTCCCACGGGGACCCAGGACCTGTGCAAACAAGGCTGCCCCTGCCTTGACCCTGCCTACTTCTCTCCTGTGACAGCATGTTGCCTGCCATCCTGATGCATGAAGCTCACCCGCCCTTCTCTTCAAAGGTGATGCTGGACTGAAGGGGGCAGAACCTGGGGCCCCCAGAGCTGTCTGGCTTCTACAAGCCAGGCGGCCCTTGGCTAGGAGGTCGGAGGTCAGCCTGGTGTTTCCTCCAGTCCCTTCATAGCTGGGTAGTACCCTCTGACTTGTAAAAGCCATAACATATAGTTCTTAGTGGCTGACCTAACCTTTACCAGAGCCCTAGCCCCACTCCAGGATGAGGAATCCTGGGGTGGGGGCACCCATCCCAGCATACTGGTAGCTAAAATAGGGCAGGATGGGCCTTGGCTGCTGAATGAGGGCAGTGTGCCCGCTCGGATGCCTCCTCTTACCCCAGCTGCCTCCCAGGGCCTCCAGGCTCCAGAGCTGGAATGTCCAGGCAGTCTAGGAGCCACAGGACCACCAGACCAGTGTGGCATCTAGTTCTGGAAGGGATGGATGGTGTCCTAGCTTCTCAGGGTAGGCCTCGCTGCTTTTCACCTCTAGAGGACACAGGCTGGCTGACCCATAATGACACAGCTTCACTTGGAGAAGGGTGATGGTGCTTCTCATCTCCTTTCACAGTTCCCCCAGATCACTGATCATTCTCCCCAAACCCTGTGTCCTGCTGTGGCGACCACCAGGGGAGGTCTCAGATGAGCCAGGGGCCAGCCAACCATTATGGGGCGTGTGATACCCACCCCAAGTTTCCATATGACCCCAACACTTTGGCCTTTAAATGTCTTCCAACATAACCAACCATCTCCGCCTGGCCCAGCTCTCCCCTGAGCCGCCCAATCTCTCAAGGCTCCCTCAAGGCCCTCCTTCTGGCTAACTGCCTCATGCCTCCAGATCACAGCAGCTGCCCACATTAGTTCAGGGCTGTTTCAGAGGGCTCAGCTGGCTCCTCCTCAGGGTGTCCCTTGCCACAGCCCCCAAATACAACAAGTTGTAATTGGCAAACTCACTGCTACACCGTGAGTTTCTAAATGGTAAGGCCCATGTCTTATTGGTTTCATCTCCCCAGTGTCTACCCAGGAAAAACCATTTAATAGGTAGGTGTTGGGAGACGGCTCACCAGTTAAGAGTGACCCGAGTTTGGTTCCCAGCACCCATGTAACTACAGTTCCAGGGGGTATCACAATCCTTTCTGGCCTTTAAGGGCACATGTACACACATGGCATGCACTCATACAAACGTACAAATAAAAGCAAAATAAAAATAAGTATCCAGTGAATGACTGCATCAGATGAATTGGTTATTGGGAGAGGAGATGCATGAAGAGCCCAGAGACATCAAGGTCACACAGCAAGGCAGGGATAGGTCTGTCCTGTGCACTAACACACTCATGCCTTTCCTGTGATTTCTGGCCTGCCTCCTTGCCTGGCCCTACCCCATCTGGAGATGGCGGGGCCCCTCAACCCCCCAGCACAGGATCATCATGGTCTGGCCCAGCCAGGGACCATCTGGAGAGCTGCACTGTCTGCAAATCGGACTGTTTATAAGCTCAAGGCCTTTTGTGACTTTAATAATAAAGGGGGCTGGGGGGTGGGAGGGAAAATGTCGAAAGCCTCAATGATTAGAGTGCCTTGGCACCATCCCTGACGTGGGATAAGATAAGACGTCTTATCTGGGAGACACCCAAGGAAAAGGGCCCCTCCGACAGATAACACCCCAGCTGTCGAAATGCCCTTTCATAGCCGGACTGCAGATAAGGAACTGTGACAGCGGAGGGAGGAGAGAAACTTCCTGAGCTGAGGAGAATTGAGTCTGCTTCGAACAATGAGGAGCCGCTGTCTCGGCTGCCTTTATTTTATTCAAAGAGGAGTCATGGGGGTGGGGTGGAGGTTGGCCTTGCTACCTTCTGTCATTCCTCTCTCTATGTCTGGTTGCAGGGGGCGACAGGGAGACCCAAGAGAGTGGGAGGGAGAGCTTGGAGATAGCAAGGTGCTGGTACTGAGGGTGGCGGCAGTTAGTGTTTCCATTTTGACTATGCAAAAACTCTCTACCCAGGCCTGAGTGCATCCTGTCCCTAACCAAAATGTGGCATGGCAGCCTTGGCTACAGTCTGGTTTTAGCTTCCTTTTACATGGTAGTAAACGGACACGGTGTGTGTGTGTGTGTGTGTGTGTGTGTGTGTGTGTGTGTGACTGGAGGCAATCCGCACAAGATCAGACAGATTTTTAACTTGCAGAGCCAAGGGTGTCAGACCCTGAACTGCAGGCAATTCCATCACAGTGGGCAGAAGCCCCCTGGCTCAGTCATGCCTCCCTCAAGGAGAAGCTGCAGGGCCCTGGTTCTCCTCAGTGCCCACAGTCCACTTGGATTCCAGCCTGGGAGGGGCTGAGAGCAGAGGCCCAGGAAGAGGAGAGCAGCTCCCTGGAGGCCACCCACACATTCCACAGCCATTCAACAGAACACAGCCTGTGTGCCACGCAGCAGATGAAACCCTGTCCTCCCCCAACTCACTCCTTCACTTGGGCAGTAACATGTGGGAACACCTTGAGGGGGGGCAACCCTCTGCCACATATGGGAGTATGGAAATGGGTAAGCATGACCTGCCACAAAGCCCCAGGGCACCACTGAGAACCGTACTCCCTGGCTAAATCCAGTGTAAGCTGAAACTAGATCGCCCCAGCCACCTCTGCCTCAGTAGGGAAAACATGCCCACCTGCCCTGAGGGGATAGGCTGTGGGGACACACTTGACCGCCGGGGAAGGCCATGAAGAGGCCACAGCCTCTGCCGCTTTCAGCCTCCATTTTTGCCTTTATCTAGAACTGCCTGAGCAGATCTCCACAGCTCTGCTCAAGGCCAAAAAAACACAGGCTGCGGTCTGTAGAGGAAGAGCACGCCAGGCCTAACAGGGTGAGAGGTTCAGAGAAGAAAGTTACAGGGAGCGGAGGCAGCCAGGCCAGAGGTAGGCACTGGGGTCTGGAGCAACTCTGAGGGTGTCACTACCGGCCTCCCTGCATCTGTTTCCCTGGCTAACCCTTGGTGAGGAGTTAACCAGGCTGGACACTGGGAGCATGTCAGTCACCCTTTGATTTCTCAG